AAACATTGTTGGAATAAGCAAAGAAAACAGGCCAGCCTTCAAAGGAAAACAAAGAATAAAAGATTTAGATTATGCGGCTTTGTATTTTTCTCCCTACTGGGACTGTTTTTGAGATTCCTCCACAGGTTATGAGTTTCCACTAGAGCAAGCATGTCAAACTCGAGGCTCGTGGGCCGCATGCAGCCCACAACGAATATTTTTGTGGCACAGCCAATAAAACGGTATGTAAGAAACGTTTTAATAAAAATTTCGTAACTTAATTTTTGCAATATTCTGTTGTACATAATTATTAATAACGAACTACAACGTTCGCTAGTGAATGATTGCTATAATTGTGTTGCATTCATTTCCCTTAAGCGCCTTACATGCAGGTGCACCATTTCTCTCCACTAATACTAGCAGCGAATATTTTAGAGCCGATGGCCACATCATTAGTCTTGGATTGACCTGTTTGGTGTGCGCAACAGGAAATATTTCACTTTCAGAGAACAATAGCTTTATTTGTGTTATGCTTATTAATCTGTGCAGTTATTCAGTGTCTGGTAAGTTAATGTTCAAGAAAAAATATTAATTTGTATTAAAATGTTCTATTATTTTATGTTAACAATGACTCATATATTTCAACCCTTTGTATTCAGCATGTCTCTATCAAAATAAACCTGTTTCTATGAAAATGGAAGCTTTTTTTTTTTTGGCAGCCCACATAAACTTACACTTTTTTTATTTGGCCCGTGTTAGCCTTCGAGTTTGACATGCTTGCACTAGAGCAGTGGTTGGCAAACTCATTAGTCAACAGAGCCAAATATCAACAGTACAACGATTGAAATTTCTTTTGAGAGCCAAATTTTTTAAACTTAAACTATATAGGTAGGTACATTGTTATTCACTTAATTAGGGTACTCCTAAGGCTTAGGAAGAGCCACACTCAAGTGGCCAAAGAGCCGCATGTGGCTCGCGTGTCGCAGTTTGCCAACCACGGCACTAGAGCATCTGAGATGTCTGCCACTCACCAATTTTAGAGTCATGCAATACGGGTTCATTCTGCCCTTTTGCCCAAAGGGCCACGCCATAGGGAAACACTTGTTACCACAGCGAGGAAATTCAAGGCATAGCTATTTCTTGAAATGTACCTTGCAAGCCCAAGAGGAGAAGTATGTATTGGACGCACATAGAAAAGACTCTTTTAGTCTCTTTGATTGGATTTCACTAAATATAGAGCTTTCCTTCCCATGGAAACAGATGAAGCTGAGGAGAAAAGTATAAAATTATGAATGATAAAACTGTAACCAGCTTCCAATCTACTTGAGAAACAAGAATAAGGCATGGGAGAAAAACAGTAGGTTGAAATAATGTCCCTTTCCATGAAGAAAGAAGGAAATTGCTTCTGGTGTGAAAATGTTACTATTTTAGGTGACAGACATATTCATGGGTAAATCTGTTATCTGTACCTGCTTCACACAGATGAACCTCAAAAACATATGCTATGTGACAGAAAAAAGACCATATGCTATATGATTCCATTTAAATGAAATGTCCCGAATAGGCAAATCTATAGAGACAGAAAGTAGATCAGTAGCTGGGCTAGGGAGTGGCGGGCTGGGTGGAGGTGGGGAGTGGAGAATGGTGAGTGACTGCTTAATGTCTAACAGATTCTTTTTGGAGTGATGAAAATGTTCTAAAATTAGATTGTGTGCTCCACAAATCTGTAAATATACTTACGAAAAACCATGGAATTGCACACTTTAAATGGATATGTAAATTACATCGCAAGCAAGCTGCTTTAAAAAATAAAATCTGTTGTCCCTGATCGTTGACACACCAGCAAAGAGGACACTTACCTGTAAGATGAAGCTTGGTAATTTTTTTTTGTTTTTATATAATAGCCATGAGCAATTAATTGACTGATATAATTTACTAAGGAGGGTGTTTTTAAAATCCTTGTTGGCTTTGAATCCAAAATGTACAATGTAAGATAAATAGAAGCCTGCTTCAGTTATAAGACATAAGCAGTGCTTTACTCTGATGATTAGTGCATTCCCAAGTGAACCTTCATCTAATGCGTATGTGAGGTCAATCCATTTACCTTATGTCACTGTAGTAAAGAGCCACTGCCACCATGGAACAGAAACAGCGAAGAGTAAATTAGACAAAGAACCTTTGTCTTCAGGTTCCCAGTGTGCAATAAAACACATCTTTCCCATGCGCGTTACGCCTTATTCCTCTATCTGGATTGCAAGCTGATTCAGTGCAGTAACTTTATACTGTATTTTTTTCCTCTGCCTCCTGGAACATCCCTCTAGTTCAGGGTAGAGCACTGGTCATTTTCTGCTGGCTTCTTTCCTTCCATGCCGCATGAGGATGGAGGGCCTTGGTTAGGTGGGTAAGAGAATTTAAACTTCTCAAGCCTACCCACTGGACCATATTCCATTCCACTCAGACAGATGAGATTCTCTAAATGTACATTTCTGGAGCTCCCTAGCCATGCAATAGAAGCTTAACAGTAGAACAGGGAAGAATGCAGAGTTCTGTGCCTCCTGACAGTGTGTCTTTTATTGCAGATATCGCCCAAATGAGCAGGTCTAATTTAAAAATAGGTTGGTACAAGAGGTCACCAGTTCGATTCCCGCTCAGGACACATGCTCGGGTTGTGGGCTCGATCCCCACTGTGGGGCCAATGCAGGAGGCAGTGCAGGAGGCAGCCAATCGATGATTTTCCTGTCTCATTGATGTTTCTATCTCTCTACCCCTTTCCCTTCCTCTCTCTCTAAAAATCAATAAAAAAATATTTTTTAAAAATAGGTTGGTAAACTTTTATAGTATTTCTTCACATTTGGGGGGATCACAGAACAGGGTTGTTAGACTCAGCATATGTTTGGCCCATAGCAGGTACTCAGGGATGGGTTCTTGAATGAACAGGCAAACGAATGAATGGATAAACAAATCTCAATGACAATCACAAAGAGAAATCTGAGGATGAGCCCTGTGGATATCTGAGAACCAGAGGTATTGGGATCTAAACCTTTAAAGGTTGTTTAGATGTTCTTGCTGAGGAAAGGTCAAAGAGGAAAGGAAAACAACAAAACCACAAAAGCATCTTAAACTATTAAGAGTTATTGAGACAGTCCTGGCCTGTGGGTTCAGTTGGTTGGGCTTTGGTGCTCCAGGTCAAGGGCACATGCCAGGTTGTGGGTTTGATCCCCGGTAGGGGGCGTGCAGAAGGCCAATCACACATAACAATGTTTCTCCCTCCTTCCTCCTCTAAAAAAGTCAATAAACTATTATCCTTTTTGTTTTTTTAAAACAATTTTTATTGATTTCAGAGAGGAAGGTAAAGGGAGAGAGAGATAGAAAGAATCATTGATAGGCTGCCTGCGCGCCCCACACTGGGAATCGAGCCCACAACCCAGGCATGTGCCCTGACCGGGAACTGAACCGTGACCTCCTGGTCCATAGGTCAACGCTCAACCACTGAGCCATGCCAGTCGAGCAAACTGTTATCCTTTTAGAAAAATGTTCTTATTGATTTTAGAGAGAGAAAAATAGAGAGAGGGAGAAAGATTGATCGAGTGTCTATAGTCAGACCCGCAAACTGGGTATGTCTCCTGACTGGGAATCCAACTGGCAACCTTTCCATGCACAGGACGATGTTCAACCAACTGAGCCACGCCAGGGCAATAAACTATTCTTTTTTAAAAAAAAGTTACTGGGACATGTTGCAAGGAGAAAAAAGCAGACAATTAGTCTGAATGATCTCTACTTAGAATGATCTCTACATCATTTGCAAAATGATGTTGGGATTATATCTTTACAAGTCTTTTCAAATACTGAGAAATGTGACTAAATAACAAAAGCTGTGTGATTGGGGAATCATGAAAGTGAGTACTCTACCAGTAAAATGTGAGAGGGTAGAAAGGAGAATGATTCAAACCAGGAATTCTGAGTCTGCTTAGGTGAGTTTTGTCATGTCTGTCTACTAGGTCATTTACAGAGTGGAGAGGCCTCCTCCTCCTCCCTGCCCTCTTTATTTATTTTCTGTTACTCACATAAATACCCAATGACCATAAAGAAGATATTTTGTTCAGAATTAAGTAAAAAAGAAATCCTGAGCTGATGGGCCCTTGAGAGTTGAAGATTTAAAAGTTGAATTGGATGACATTTTAGATATTTGCCTTTAATTTCTTCTTATTTAAGCATATCACTCCTGCTGGGACCATATTTAGCCATTTAAAAATAATTTAGTATATTGAGTCTTTGGCGGTTTCTGACTGTCAATTGGATTATTCTTTCTATTAGAGTCCAGTGGTACTCAGCATGTTTTGTTAATCTATATTTATCTACTTTATTATTTTTATTTTTTAATCTTTATTGTTGAAAGTATTACATATGTCCCATTGACCTCTTCTACCCCACCCCTGCCCCCTATGTTAATCCATATTTAAACTAGGGTGACCTCACGTCCTGATTTGCCTGGGACAGTCCTGGTTTACACCTGTTGTCCCAGCAGAATTATTAATAGCAACCTCTTCTACTCTCAATAGCATCCTGGTTTGGAAGATTAAACTCTATAATCACTCTAACTGTGACTCCTAAAAATTTACAAGAACATGTCACACTTTTCTACTAATTGTTGAATTTGTGGCTATTTTATACAATTTCTGAGACCCTTTCTTCTTTCTGGCCCATTTTAAGCATCCTTTGAACTTCAGAAGGCTCCTCACAGAGCCAAAAAGCCAGCGGTGAGACAGAGAGAACTGCATCCACACAAAGGCAACTGTTGTTCATTAATAACACATATTAATTAACATGCTTTGCTAATTAATAATATTTTAATGATTTAGGTTGCATTTCTATTAATCAGCTATATTATTAATTCAATTATATTAAGTGTTTAATGAATGCTAATGGTTGGCTGGCACCTACCTTCATAGCCAAACAGAAGTAAGAACAAGAAGCCTTCTATCTTGAGTGGCATTCTCCCCTTGTCCTTGGCTGCAGCTCTACCTTATCCAAGTGGAGAGCTTCCCCAGGAGCAGGAGATTAACTTGAGCACTGGCCTCATTAAGCACCTTATGGCATTTAGTTCTTAGGGCTTTGGCTGAGCCCCACCAAGTTAACCCATATAGTTACCTGCTTTAACAAGGAAGTCTTAGACAAGAATCTAGTGTCAACTGAGGTCTGTTTAGCCAAGGAAAATATTGGTTTTATTCTATCTTTAAATGTAGGGAAGCACTGGAGGGAAATGGAAACTAGAATCAGAAGATCCAGGTCTTAATTCTTTCTCTGCCATCGTCTTCTATCTAGTGGGTGACCTTGAGCAATTTCCTGCCAAATAAGCACTAACATTCAAGAGTTCTGTGAAAATGACATGGATTCCTCTCAGAAAGCAACTTGGCTTCATGTTCATACCTATTCACTCGGGAAAATATTAAAATACATTGCTGTGTTATTTATAATAACAAAAAGTTGGAAACAATATACGTGGCCAGTGCAACAGGTATGGTTAAAAGTGCAACAGGTAGGGTTAAAAGCAGATTCCCAAGCCAGGCGGTGCAAATCCCAGCTCAACCATTTGTTTTGTGACCTTGGGCCAAGTTACTTAAGGTCTCTGTGTTTCAACTTTTTGATCTGTAAGGTAATGATAATGCCTACTTCAAGGAGTTAGTTTGAGAATTAAATGGGATTATATATGTAAAAAGTTCTAGAGATCTTTTTCACAACAGTGTGAATATAATTCACATTACTGAGCTGTATACCTAAAAATGGTTAAGACAGTAAAAAAAAAAATAAAGTTAAAACTTGAAGCGATTGTAATAACAGGGACAATCACATGTCATGCCCTAGAGTTAGAAAAGGTTACAGATTTACACACTGTATGAGCAACACTGTGGAAAAAATGCAGAGAAAAGGACTGTGGTTTCCCTTGCCTTTTTGCTTCTTGGCCACCACTATCCTACCTCAGCTCCCAGGGTCCCAGACACCTTTCCTTCATTCCTCTTGTCAAAGAAGAAAAAGGCCAATATTAAAAAGATAATGACCCCTCAAAATGAAAGTGTAATGAACTAATAAAGAGGAACAAAAAGGAACTAGAGAAGCGTTGTTCAATCAGCATTTATTGAGTGTCTACAAGCCTGACATTTATTCTGTATTGTATATGGATTCATTAAACAGACGAAGGTCTATTTAACAAACTCCACTGTTGTATTAAAAAGAAAAAGACTGTAAAGGAGACATATGTAGTACTTTAAACAATAAAAGAAAACAAAAGAAAAAAAAGGACTGTTTTATTAATTTTTTAAATAGAAAAAGACTGTTTTCCCTATTCTGTATAATACTAATAATTATTTAATCAATAATAATTTGATAAACAATAATTATTCAAGACAGAATAATTATTATTAATCATTAATAAATAATAATAAGTAATAACCCTTTAATAATTGAACAGCAATCAAAGAGCTGTGGTATTGCCATATTTTATTTGGAGGCTTTGGGGGGCGGCCTGTCTTGGCTTGCAGGGAAAGGGCCACGCTGGGTGGTTTTGCTTCTCCCCAGAGCTAGACTTTCAGGCCGCCCTGAAGTAGTGGAGGAAAGGTGGGGGTAGGGTCCTGGAGGGCCGGGGGTGCTCCCAGACTACAGCATTGCCGGGCCCCCACCTCTGCTGTTTTTCAGTTGAGGCAATGGCGGCCGGGAATGGAGGAGCCGGGTATCTTTCATTACGCTTCTGTTATAAAAGCATTCTAAAAATTAAAGAAATAAAATAAAAATCTGTTTAAAGGGAGAAAGGAAAGTACCACGTTTTTGTTTTCTATGTTTTCATCTGGACAACTCACAGCACTTTAAAATCAAAAATAGGAGCCGAAGCACCTGAGGGTGGTCCCACTGGGGCTCGAACCCAGGACCTTCTGCGTGTAAAGCAGACGTGATAACCACTACACTATGGAACCTCCATGTAGAGGAGGCTCATCGTTTACTTACTTATAGTCTTCCGTCATAAACCGCGTCCCGCTGAAGCCACGCCCCTCCGCCGTAACTCCACCCCCGCGCTGGCCCCTCCCCCTCCCGAGAACCCGCGTTCGAAGTGGGGCGGGGCGGAGCTCACGCTCCTGCGTTTAGACCGCTCGCCGCCGTCTGCGCGCCAGATTGTTCTCCCTGCGACCCGTTGTCCCTCTATCCTTCCCCCCTTCCCCGCTTAACCGCGGTGTTTGCGGGGCGGTCTTGGCGGGCTGAAGAGGACCACATCCGGGGCACAACCCCTTAGGGCAGCTTCCCTCAGCTGGTGAGGGGCCCGCACTTTTCTCATTTTCCCCACGGGCATACTGAGCCGCTTCTGGCGGTTTGAAGGGCGGACAGGAGCGCTACTAGAGTCAAAGATTCAGGCGGCGTGGAGTGTGGGGTGGGCTGGGGGCGGGGATCACTTTTATATCGGCATTTATTTTGCCAGGGTTGGAAAAGGCCGCTGGGGAGTCTGCCTCTTGCCCCAGAAGGTAGGCTCTTACTGCTCCCCTGACCTTTTCCACAGCCTTCTCTCTAGAGGGGCTAAACATTGCAGGACTTTTGTTTGCTTTGGCTGGGGTAGGGTTGGAGTGGTGGTGTAGACAAAACACCGCTTTATGGCTGGGGTGGGGGGTGAAGCAGGAGCGGACACAACATTTGAGGGACCCAATGCAAAATAAATAGTGCCAGGCCTTTTGTTCGCGTTATTAAGAATTCTGAAACGGTGACCTCAGAGCACTAAACCCTTGAACCTGGCGCTGTGGTTCCAGGACTGTGGTCCCTATAAGGTGCTGGGACCCTTCATTACAAAGGGCGCCTGCATGGTTTTTTTCCTGGTTTTCATTGTCAGTGCCATTTATTCATACCTTCTCTCTCCCTCCTCCCCCCACTTGTGCCTCTGGCTGGATCTCTGTCACCATCCTAGGATTGCTTGCCATCCTCAAGCTTGAAAACCACGTAAAACCATATCTTTAAGTGCTGAGTGGGACATGGCTGAAGGCTGCGGCTGTCCTTTTCACTGGAGTTTTCCTCCGAAGCTACCAGAGTGATGGAGAAATGATACTGATTGTATGAAAACAACCCCTTCAGATAACTCCTGTCTTCCTGGGAAGGCCCCTGAAAGAAACAGGTGTGTGGAAGGTGCACTAATCTGGGGACCTGATTTGGATTCTAGTCCTCTCTTGGCTACTTACTAGCTGTGTCCTCTGGAACTAGTCAGTTCACCTCCCAAGCCTTTGTGTCCTCCTATATGAAATGCATGGGTTGGACTAGACACCCCCCCTCCCCCCACTTTCCCCTCTGGGTCTAAATGTTATCCCAACTCTCCAGGTGGGAAAATGGAGGTAGTTATCTGCCATGTCAGTTTTTTCACAGAATTAGAGGCAGGCCTGCAGTTAGTGCTTGGGTTCTCTAGTACCAGGTTTCCTATGTCCTAGTCAGCGCCCTGGAATATTTATCGCGGGGCCCCTTCCAGAAGGCCTTTTTGTTGATACATTTTGAGAGGACTCTTGAGCACTTGGTGCTTAGGTCAAAAGCCACGAGATGACTATGAGTGCATAGCCACCAGCGGAGGATGACTTCATAAAAGCTCCATGTTTCCTCCTAGTCAATGAGTCATAATGACCCTAGGATGCTCAGTAATAAATATGTTCCACCTGTTTCCAAACCCCTGTGAGTTCAAAACAAGGCTTCTAAGAATTGGGTCTGTAATTATACTCACCAGTTGTGTTTTTGGTTTGTGTCTCTAGACCAGTGATGGCGAACCTTTTGAGCTCAGCGTGTCAGCATTTTGAAAAACCCTAACTTAACTCTGGTGCCGTGTCACATACAGAAATTTTTTGATATTTGCAACCATAGTAAAACAAAGACATATTTTTGATATTTATTTTATATATTTAAATGCCATTTAACAAAGAAAAATCAACCAAAAAAATGAGTTCGCGTGTCACCTCTGACACGTGTGTCATAGGTTCACCATCACTGCTCTAGGAAGTGCTTTGCTCTTCCTTCAGCTTTCTTCCTGCCCTTGCTCTAAGGGTGGGTTTGGCAGGTGCAAGCTTTGGTCAGGTTGCCACACATATACTCCATGTAGAAAAGAAGCTGGTGCACCTCTGATGCATGCAGCACAGGGTTCTGCCTTTAGTGAAAAACTCCTCTTGCTTTTCTCCATTTTGACAAGGAGGGAGACTTTTGTTCTACTCCCTGCTGCTGTCAAGGTGTAGTCACAGTCTTCGTAACTAGTGAAGTGCAATATGGTTTACAAAGCCCTTTCGTATACATTCCTGTGAGGTAACCATAGTAAATATTACTATATATTTTTCAGCTAAAGAAGTTGAAGCCGAAGATATTGAATGCCTTGTCTGAGACCATTCTGCTGGTGAGTGGCAGGGCTGGGCTCATACTCACTCTTCTGATACCTAAGTGATTTCGGGAGGCCCGTGTCCAGAAAGGCTACATATTTTTCCCATGAGGTCCATGGTCTTTTGTAATATTTTGTATGCATGCCAGCGAGGAAATGGATACTTTTTCTTTTTTATCTTTTGTAATTTCAAATGAAATCCACAAAAGCAGGAACCAAGAACCTGCAGAAACAGCTGTTGATTTTCACATTGAAACCACCAGAGTCATGGATAGTGCCTCAGATGGCCACAGTTTTGCCCGGCACTTCAGTCTGTTCAGTTGGATTTGTGAGACCTGTCACCCCCAGGTAATGCCTATGATCATCTCAACAAGTATAAGACAAACACACAAAGTAGTAAATAAAGACTAGAAGTCACTTCAAGGTTTTTGAGTCCTTTGATTTCTACTATGTTCAGTGTGGCTTCCCCAGTGTTTGGCTTCACTGATGGAGGGAAACTCAACCAAAGGGACTGCAGTCCCAAACACTGACCTGATTTAAAAAGCTCAGTGGACTTGGTTTCATTTTAGAAACAATTGTACTATGTCTTTCAATGAGTACTCAAGTATTTATTAAGTAAAATGAGTCATTACCTCGGTATAATAGACTTCACCTTATTTTTTC